GTGTGTGTGTGTGTGTGTGTGTGTGTGTGTTTGTTAGTTGGTTTGTTTATATATTACTTTTCGCCCTGTCGTTGTCTTCTATTGGAAGGAGGAAGGGTGTTATGTTGAAAACCTCTCTCGTCTCAGATCTGTTATGAAAAAGACTGATTTGACGTCTGCTGGTAGTAAGACTGAACCATTTTTTAGGAAGCCACTTTTTAGTTTGGGAGCCCAGAAACTTCCAGGATAATGCCTCCCGTGACTCATGAGTCAGTGGAAGGTTGAACCCTTGTCCTCCTCCTGACGAAGTAATGTTTTAACTAAAAAAATAACGTCCAATCACAATAAGGAAACAAGTTGAGGAGACGGACAGTACAGTTAAAACTGCTCTCAAAGCAGTAACCGTTTGAGGGAGATAGACAAAAGTCTTGAAATTAGCGAAAAAGCACTCTAAATAGATTGTCGTGCTTTTAGAAAGCGAGGTTTTAAGTGTGTTCTACTGTATTGTCTTATCTTTTCATAGGCCCTATTTGTTCATATCAAGATTATCCTAATTTACTCGTAGTACATATGTGGATGTCCATTAGCATAAAAAACGACAGAACTACAATAATAATAATAATGACAACAACAACCACAACAGCAGCAGCGACAGCAACAACAACAACAACAACAACTACAACTGCAAAAGCAACAACAACAGTAACAACAGCAACAACTGCAACTACAACAACAATAGGAAACGGTTCTAATCTGGTTTAAAAAAAAAAAAAAGCAACAATGGGTGTAAAACAGCATCTACAATAGTAACAACAACAACAACAACAATAGCAACAACAACAATAACAACAACAACAATAACAACAACAACAATAGGTTCCTGGTGCATTCAGTTAGCTTTGTTTTGCACTGTTGCCGTTGACACTTTGTTGACAATTTCCAGAAGGATCGGTTTCGTGGATAATTCATCATCGACCCCGGCTTTCCTTCTTGTCGGCTGACGTCGCGGAATGAGTCAAGGAGACAGGACACCTTCAAGTCCTCGTCACTGCTGGCTTTTTTTCTTCTTCGTCCCTCCGTCGCCATCTTCTCATCGAGCATAATATTAGGTTCACACGTATCCTATGCACACATCCCCTAACCCCCCCCCCCCCCCCCCCCCCCGCACACACACACATAATTTCTTCCTTTTTCTCTTAGTGAAGGACTGCAGATACCACGCTGTTTACTTTTTTAAATTTATGTAATTTAGTGCATATAAGTCAGTGTGCAAAAGTTGAAAAAAAAATCTATGTTCAATAGTGAAGGAGATTGACAATAAGTTGCGCGACGAAATTTGGACCGCTGTGTAGAACCAGGATCTTTCTCCTTGAGGTCTAGTCTAATACAAAATGGGATGATGGTGATGGAAGAAGAAGAAGAAGAAGAAGAAGAAAGAAGAAGAAGAAGAAGAAGAAGAAGAAGAAGAAGAAGAAGAAGAAGAAGAAGACGTTGAGACCACTCTGTCCGATTTCCTTCCCCTGTCCAGATTTTGCCAACCCGACTACCTAGATACATTCTGTTTCTGTTATTTAAAGGAGGAAACGTGAGTTCAAGATAAAAGCAGCAATGACCCAGAGGGATGTGGTAAAAGAAGGGGTAAGGCTGGTGGCCGGGGGTGGAGGTGGGGAGGGGGGGGGGTTGTAAGGCTCGATCA